AATAAAAGTAAAAATGTTTCTATGTACTAAAATGGGAATATGTACCAAATAAAATATTACCAAGATTTTTAAAATTCGTTTTTTAGGGTTGAAAATGTTTCCCAAGTTGTATTTCCGTCCTATGTATGACTTATGAAGTTGTCCATCTCTACACTTGGAATCCCATCTGTTCATGTATCCCTCTCTTCTTACCTAAGGTTTAAAATAAGAAATGATTATTAAGACTATGTTAAGATGGGCGGAAAGGTCTGGATACTATTCCGGATTGTGGCATTTTGCTTTATGGATGGAAGACTTTCCATAGACCGATGAGCGTGATCTGCTCAGATAAGCTGCAGTCCCTGGGGCAAATGGATCCTGAAAGGTGCCAGATAGTTTTGTTAAGATGGGTGGAAAGGTCTGGATACTATTCCGGATTGTGGCATTTTGCTTTATGGATGGAAGACTTTCCATAGACCGATGAGCGTGATCTGCTCAGATAAGCTGCAGTCGCTGGGGCAAATGGATCCTGAAAGGTGCCAGATAGTTTTGTTAAGATGGGTGGAAAGGTCTGGATACTATTCCGGATTGTGGCATTTTGCTTTATGGATGGAAGACTTTCCATAGACCGATGAGCGTGATCTGCTCAGATGAGCTGCAGTCACTGGGGCAAATGGATCCTGAAAGGTGCCAGATACTTTTATGGTGTGTGAAGCAGGTGCGACTACACCATAGTGTGCACAATGTGAGGTTTACGTAGACATTGTGAGTAGTGAAGGAGTCAGCGGGAAGTGTAAACATTGATTTAATAGTCAGCTCAAATATGGGTTCTTGAATCTTGAATCCCAATATTCATACAAATATAATTTTATATTTGTCTGTACATATTTTATATATTTATATATTATGTACTATGTCTGTCTATCTATCTATCTATCTATCTATCTATCTATCTATCTCCCTCTCTTTCCTCTGTGCTTCTGTCCGCACCCCCTCACTTTCCTCTCACACCTCAACCTGTTTCTGAGAGTCCAAACTGGGGTGGACTTTCTTTTTACATAATCAAAACATGTCGTTGAGTTTCTAAAACAACCAAAGAATGTGTATTTCTCTTTCAGATGATTTATGTTACCCTAATATGGACTAGTCTCAGCTGTAAGAATTTTTTTAATGTTTTTTTTATTTATTTCTAGGAGAGAGAGAGAGAGAGAGATAGCGCAAGCAGGGGAGGGTCAGAGAGAGAGGGAGTGACAGACTCTGAAATAGGCTCCAGGCTCCGAGCTGGCAGTCAGCACAGAGCCCGACGCGGGGCTCGAACCCACGAACCGCGAGATCATGACCTGAGCGAAAGTCGGACGCTTAACCGACTAAGCCACCCAGGCGCCCAAGAATTTTTTTTTTAAATAGGACTTTTAACCAGTGTCCCTCTGTCTGTATGTTATGTCAGTGGATAAAGTGAGGAGTGTTAATGTCCTCTGAATACGTGATGGAAGCTAATGAAAATCATACCTGGGTTCTCATAGTTGATAACGGGCAGAACTTAAATTCAAGACCACATCTCATTGATTTCAATGCTTTGTTGTTTCTGCCGTATTCTAATAAGCCTCACAGTTGAGCAGAGCCCAGCCCAGGACACAGATCGCTTCTGGGTTCTGGGTTCTGGTTCAGGTCCCACTACATGGCTTTGAATGGGCAAGTCCCAACCAAGGACTCATGGCATAGGAGCAGATTATATCATCATGAAGAATTCTTCCTCAGAAGAGTTCCAAGTGCATTTGTGAAGACTAAATGGAATACAGCGCGTGAACTTGCATTGGAAACCAGAGCTATTTTAAAAGCTTGGGAAATAAAAGCACTAAGTATTGAAATGGCAAAGCATAGGAGGCACATGCAGTGAGTAAGTCTCTGTTCTAAGCACATTATTTCGTATCTAAACAATGACCCTTTAAGGTAGGTGTGCAGTGAGCTTCCTCTTTCTCCCATGTCTGAAAACAGAGCACAGGAAGTTAAACAGCATATACCAAGGCTCTGATGTCTATACAGGGAGGGGCCCTGTAATATGGCAGAAATTAACACATTAGGTTGCCCCAGAGAGCATTAAACTGTTAGGAAATGCAAAATGGACTCTGGTATAGATTTGCCAAACCACTGGATGGATCTCAGCCCTAAACCAGCCACTTGTTCATCTTGACCTTGATGTAGATTATAATCACAGGGGCTTCTCCCTCAAAGATTCTGGTTTAATTAGTTAGACATATGGGTTGGTGTATGGGGTTGAATGATGGCCCCCAAAAGATATGTCCACATCCTAAACCCTGAAGCCTATGAATGGAACTTACTTAGGAAAACAAGTTTTGAAGACATAATTAGGCAAAAGATCTCTAGATGAGTTCATCCTAGATTATCCAAGTAGACCTTAAACCCAATGACAGGAGGGACATGGCCACAAGTCCAGGGGCATCTGCTGGAAAAGATGGGAAGGATCTTCCCTTAGAGCCTCTGGAGGGAACACTGCCCTGCCCCACCTGGATCTCACCCCGCATGGATCTCAGTGGTCCGGCCCCATCTGGATCTCAAGCATCTGCTCCCCAGAACCGGGAGAGCATAAATTTCAATCACTTTACACCCTACCCACCCCCACCCCAATTTGTGACAATTGGTTATGGCAGCCCCAAGAAATGAACGCACCAGGAATGAGGAGTTTTTAATCTTCCCCAGGTGATCACAACACTAAGCCAGGAAGGAGAGCCACTGACTTCTCATGACATAATAAGGTTAATTCTGTTAGGAAGGCTGAATAGCCAGACACTTGGGTTGGGGTTAAAAGGACCCTTGGGCTTTCCTTTCCCAAAATATCAGGCCCTCCCGGAACCCATAAACAAACCCCGCTGCCCATCTGTAGTTTGGTCTCACGTGATAAAAAGTGCAGAAAAGGCCCCTACAGGGTGCAGCCTCCTGAACTTTCCACTTAGTAGCAGGAGAGAGGCTTCTCTCACCAGACCTCGAGTCCTGTCCAGCTTCATTGGAATGAGAGCTCTACTTGCAAGTAGAACCCGAATTGCCCAGTTTGAGTTCTGTTTTACAGTGAAACCCTGGTCACAAAGAGTGACAGCTGTCTGCTAGCTAAGAATTTTGCTTGTGCGCACAGATGTACAAAGACATGTGCTCAACGTCAGAAGTTCGTGGAGGGCGGCTGGGGGATACGATCTTTCAGTTGATGCATTATTGAGTTAATATACTACTTACCAGTCATAGTAGAACCCTATGTGTTTCCAGTTAATAATCTGAAATCACACACACATCCTTATTCTGGGCAAACTGATTTAAATGCGTTTGCTCCTGGAGAGTGAGTCCATCTCACTCTGCCCAGACATCCCTCTATGACTTCCCAGACATAAAAATGTTGGCCGCCCTTCCATGTGATGTGGCCTTTGAGTCCCCTGGACTCTGAAAGCTCTCTGAACCCCGTGTAATGGTTCTGAAGGTCTCAGACTTGTGTCAGGCTGACCTGTACATCTGCTTGACATCCTTCAGGAAGACAGCGAGTGAAGACCACCAAATGCCCCTTCCTGCCATCCTAACTTGCCTACGGCAGGACAGGGCAAATCCTTAAGGACGTATGTGGAGCCCACCCGTGAAAGTATTATCATCGATCTATTTATTTATCTTCATCATCATCATCATCATCATATCCATCTATTTATCTATTTATTATCTTCACCATCATCTTCATCATCTATCAAACTATCTATTCATCATCTTCGTCATCATCATCATCTTCTTCATCTATCCATCTATTTATCTATTCATCATCTTCACCATCATCATCTTCTTCATCTGTCCATCTGTCTATCTATTTTTCCTCTTCATCTTCATCCTCCGCCATTTATCTGGCATCTATGGGATTGGTTCTCAACGAGGGTCAATCTTAGCAGGTGCATTTGGCAATATTTGGAGCCATCTTTTCGTTGTCATGCCTGGAGTGGCACGTGCCACCAGCATCTGGTGGGGGGAGAACAAGAACACGCCTCAATGCCCTACGGTGCACAGGACCCCCCCACCCCAGACAGTGATCAGCCCCGAATGGGTGCAGAGGTCGAGAAGCCCTCATCTGGCTGAAGACTCGTCTTTGGAGAATGAACTCGAGAGGCAAGAAGTGTTCCCTGCACACGTTTTCCTCTCAGGGGTTGTCCTTGTACCCGACACATAGTAAGGGCAGTGCGCCTTTGTATGAGCAAAATAAGTGGATTAATGAGGGACAGATGAGAGACCTCTCTACATCCCACAGATCACGGAAAGCCACACACTGTTTTGTGTCAGTGACCACCACTCATTAAAGATTGGCAGCACTGTACTTTCTGTCAACACGGACAGTCGTGTTCTTCCTAAATATTTATCTTGAGTTTCGCTTTTCCTCTTGGGGGAAACAAAACAATGACAGTTTTGCATAGTTGAAGAAGACTAGGACATGTGCCCCAGATGTGTCTTTCCTAAAGAGAATTTCCTGAGCAATTGCCAAGGCACCATGTTCCCCACCCCACCACCTGACTGACTTGTTTCTTTCTTTCTTTTCTTTTTTTTTACTCTTTTAAACTTTAGTCATTTTAGAGAGACAGAGTGCGACCAGGGGAGGCGCAGAGAGAGACAGAGAGAAACAGAATCCGAAGCAGATTCCAGGCTCTGAGCTGACACCACAGAGCCCGACATGGGGCTCGAACCCACAAACCAAAAGATCATGATTAAAGCCAAAGTTGGATGGTCAACCGACTGAGCCACCCAGGTGCCCCTGATCATCTTCCTTCTTACTGCAACCAACACCCCCTAGGATGGGAGGGTCTCACCCTGCCTTCTTGTAAAATGCATGGTTGGAGCTACTCAGTTTCCTTGCCTGTTAAACCCTTGTAGACAATAAAATAATTCCAATGTGCTGGATAAAAGCAGTTTTTCAAACACTGTGCTTTATACCCAAATTCACTTGAAATGCTCTTGCCCTGGAAAATAGGACTATTATCATTGCCTGGTTATTTGGAAAATATTATTTTATTATCAAATGTACATTATATTGACCTTAAAAATACAGTAAAGCAGTCACGGGGATAAACATGTCTCCTATTTTCCATGAGCACACACCGATGGGGTATGGCGTGAGGGAGAGACATTTCCAGGCTTTTCCAGGAGGCCCTGGATTCATTGTGCAGGGGCACGGCTTAGCTCTCTCCTGCCCCTTCCCCCCACCCACTGACTTCAGCTCTCAAGATAAATCCCCAAACAAGGAAATCCAATATCCCAGCCTCCCACACTGTAAGGGTGCGGGGAAGGTAATATAATAGCAGTTACTGAATTTTCTCAAGGAAGTTTGGAGGATATATGTTTTTTTTCAATTGCACTTCCATGCCTGCTCTCATGTAGCCAAGTCTTGTAAAGACCAATAATTTATTATTTTTAATGAGACAGAAAGTATTTCTTTCTCTCTAGCCTCATCGTCTGATTGGAAAGAAAAATATAAAACATGTCTTTATGTAAGACAATATATAGAAGGTGAGTTCCAGGGAGAAAGTGAGTCCATTATATAAAAAGTGAGTCCCATATAAAACGGTAGCTGTATTGTACGCAACTTGTACATTACAAAGACATCAGTCATTGTGCTTCTAAGCCCTTCCAGGGCAAGCTGGAGTTCTAAAGTGACAGAACATAAGTGGAAGATGGGTAGTCATTCTAGAACATTCTATCATGTTAGGGCTGCAGCAGATTAACTAGGGGATGCATCTTCAATGGGATAGCAAGGCACTGGTAATCTCTATGGTTTATTTTCAGTGAGTGCTCCTTAGGTCGGCTACAGATGCCCAGTAGAGTAGACGTGGTCTGCAAATCAGACAGCACCCTACGTGTCCAGCTCCTGCGAGCACACGACATCCCATAAACACGAATGAAGGTCCCCGGAGAGGCCAAACCATCGTTCTCGTGTTGCCACTGCTTCCTTTTGCCGACAAGCGTAGGTCAAAGTCAACATGAACCTGAAACCCAGACGGGGGCCCCCCGAGCACCGTGACAGACCCATTAAGCGTTCTGACCAGCTGACTGAGGCGGCTTTCCTTACAAATGATGCTTTGTTCTAACTGTGGAGTCCACATTCTGGGGGCGGCGTTTCAGTAGACGTGGATGTAAGTAGTTTTCGAGTCAGTGCCTAGGATGTTTTTCGCAGTGCACTTGTAGAAACCCGCGTCTCTGTGTGTGGCCTGCTGGATGGTCAGGGAGCCCTGGGGGTGAAGGAATCTGTTCCCATAGAGACGCGCCTGCGCCCCGGCGGTCAGGTGCGAGTTGTCGGGCAGGTCCCAGGTGATCTCGGCTTTGGGAATCCCCATGGCCATGCAGTTCATCTTGACGGTGTTCCCGGGCCGCGTGTAGATGACGGGCGTTGGCTCACTGGTGATCCGCGGCGGATACGCTATCACGATAACTGGAAAGTTCACGACGGAAGGGCCGTACTCCGTGTCCACCTTGCAGACGTAGGTTCCCCTGTCGAAGACGGAAGCATCGCGCACCGTGAGGGTGCCATTTTCCCAGAGGGAAAAGCGCCCCCGTGTTTGGGGGCCCTCCAACAGCATGGCATTGGGGAGCGTCCAAGAGAGGCGAGCCGAGCGGCCCCCCGGAGGGGTGCAGTGCAGCTGAAGGGTCTCCCCGTTGATGATGCTCACCAGATTGTGATACTGGTTGCTGACCTGGGGTTTCAGTCCCACCTTCAGGGAAACTAGCCTCTCCGAGTAGCCGGCTGAGTTGCGGGCCACGCAGCGGTAAGCCCCGGCGTCCACGGAGGAGAGGCCACTGATGTGCAACATGCCGTCACCCTTATGGTAGAATCTCTGCAGCTGTTGGCCACTCTGGAGCTCTGTCCCATTGGGAAGGACCCACAGCAGGGTGGGCATTGGGGTCCCTGTGGCCGAGCAGTTGAGACTGATAGTGTGGCCGGCCATGGCGGTGATCTTCTCACTGACCGGGTCATGGAAGATGGGCTTCTCCACAGGGTCCAAGACCGTGAGCTGGACAATCAGCCTGGCTTCCCCTCCCTCGTTGCGGCCAATGCACGCCAGCTGCACGGAGTCGCTCTTCCTCAGACTCCTGATGTCCAGTGTGCCGTTGCGATGGATGGTGATTCGGTTCCCATAGTACGGGGCCGGAAGAACCACGCCCTCGGGAAAGGCCCACAAGACCCTCGGCGTGGGGATGCCTTCTGCCTGGCAGTCAATGAGTTTGCGACTCCCTCCGGCCGCGATCTCCCGCACGGTGGTGATGGCGTTAGGGTTCCCGTTGATGGTGGGCGACTGGACGTTGACGTGGATCCAGACTGTTTTCCGGTCCTCCCCGGCGCTGTTCCTGACCACACAGGTGTAATTGCCGCTGTCTGAGCGCTGAGCTTTCTGAATGAGAAGAGTGCCATCTTGGTATATCTGGTACTTATCGGAGGAGACGGGGATCAGCCTGTTGGCTGGAGAAAGCCACGTCACCCGGGGCGTGGGCTCCCCTTTGGCTTCACACGCCACAGTGACCACATCGCCATAGGGAACCTGGACCACGGCGTACGTCTTGTTCCGGATGGCGGCTGGCTCTGTGACCACCTTGACCCGCACCCTCATCTCATCCTTGCCAACCTGGTTTTCGGCAAAGCAAGTGTAATCCCCTTCCTCCCGCATGCCCACTTCATTGAAGTAGAGTGTCCCGTTGTTGAAAACCACGTAGCGTTTGGTACGGCCACCGCCGTCGTCAGACTGCATGAAGGAGTTGACCAGGCTGCCGTCCGGGAGGCTCCAGGAGATCTCAGGGTTGGGAAGCCCAGTGGCCACACAATCCACTTTCAGGTCACCTCCGTAGAAGACCTTGTGGTCATTCTCCTTGTGCTCGATCTTGGCCGGTTTCATGACCACGTTCACCTTGAGCACGACAAAGTCGTCACCAACCTTATTCCGGGCAACACACAGGTAGTCCCCCGCATCCTTGTCTGTGACAGATTTCACCACCAGAGTCCCGTTGGGAAACACCTTGATTCTGGTGTCAAAGCTGACGGGGGGGGGGGGGGGGGGGGGGGGGGGGGGGGGGGGGGGGGGGGGGGGGGATGGGAGAAAAAGAGTAGGAAGTCAGTCTCCTGTATGCTCTATCCTGGCTTTAGGTAACCAGAATGAAATGAAAACACGTGGTCTGGGGAACTTTCTGGGCACACGGCCACTACTGCTAAAGGTCACATGGTTTTTGCAGCCTGGAGGGGACTGCATTCACAGGCGGAAATGATTGATTTGCCACAAACAAGAACTCTGACTCGGTAGAGTATGACCTTTGGCTGGCCTGGCTGCTGATCCCAGGATGTGAAATGCAGTCAAGGACTTCTGCCCGGTTAGCCTGGGTGTGTGTTCACCGTGCATCTGTCTGGAAGTCAGGACAGAGCTCATGGTGATGATAAATCCAGGTAAGATGCAGCAGCCATGGAGAGAACAAATCTGAGTTAACCCAATAAAGAGGCAGAGCTCTTCCTGAATAAAATGCTTTAGACATAATTTCTACTCTTGACAATTCTGTATTATATTATATCCCATTATGAGGCAAGGGGCCCAAAGTTGGCTACTCTATGCACTGAGTAATTGGGAGTTATTCCCACAATAACAAGTAGAAAGATTTGGGACAGTCTTTCTCGAAAAGTGTCCAGATTGAACTTTCTCAATGACACATAATTTATAATGGTGGTATCAGGAAAGGAAGGGTTGAATTTGAACCTATAAATATTTCCTAAATTTTGCATTATTCGAACAGCTTATCTGGAACTATGTTGTAGAGTTACCAAGAAGAGAATGGAAAAGAACAGAACAGAGCAGAAAAGAAAAAGAAAAGACAAAACAAAACAAAGGGGTCTGCCTATAGTTGAATCAACCTCACTATGGTTAATAAAATACAAACCAAAACTAACAATGACCAAATACACTGTTTGGTTGGCCACAAGTGTGAATCAGGTCAACATAAGTCAGTAGGAGAGGAGTGGACAAACATATTTCAATGTGTCTTAGAGTTTAGAATCCCAAACTCTGTGCAGTAGCTCATGTCTCTCAGCCTTTCGAAACTTTGGAGCGGTGATGCCTAGCCTCGGTCATAACTACAATCATCTGAGCAACTCAGAAATATATCCCTGCCTACGCATCACTGGGGATCGGGATTCAAGAAAAGCTGCGCTATCTGTATTTTTAAGTAGTCCCAATGTGTACGCGAGGCAAACAGCCTGCTCTTTTATAAAACTCACATGGGTTGTTGAATTACACTTTACTAAGAATGCAATTAGTCAAAATTTAGTAATAATGAAGCCGCAGAGACAGCAATTTATGATTTATAGGGACATACTGGAAGAGCGGCTCACATTCGTTCTGGGACCACATTCTTTAACTGCCGTTCATTCAACACTGCCTGAGCCGTGCCAGGAAGAGCCGAAAACAATTTTGCACATGGCAGTACATCTGGTCAGCTGGGAGATATTCCAGGGAAAACTGGGTACGTGGTATTCTGGACGCAGTGTGAAAGGTTCACCAGGCACCAATCAACCATCTAACGTTAGCACTCAGGCTTCGAGACAGCGTGTTCACCCTTTCCCCGCATTGGAAAGAGACGGGGGAGGCCAGGAACAGCTGTGCAGAGCCCTCCGAGTGCTGGCTTCCCTCCTCGAATCCCGCGGTAGGACTCATGTCTCACATTCCTGCCTGAGCTGCCGGGCTGTGGGTGCAGAAGACACACCGTGAGCCAGGGTTTCTACACCACAGTGCCCCAGATGTGGCCTTGATTTCACTTTGCCAACCGTTGCCTCTCTCCTCTGTATCTTGGGAAAGTTACCGAAGAGACAGTGGCTCATCTGAACGCAGCCCAGGGTCCCTCAGACTCAGCACAGCTCACATCTGGGAGGGGTGGCTGTCTGGGGTGGGTCGTCCTCAGCATTGTAGGGTGGTGAGCTGCGTCCCTGGTCTCCACCCACCAGATGCCAGTAGCAGCCTCCACTCTGGTGTGACAATTAAAATGTCCCCAGGCACTGATGGGTGTTCCCCAGGGGAGTAATCTGTCTAGCTGAAAACCACGGCAACAGATGGCTCGTGGATGGACGGATAGACAGACAGATAGATATAGATGGTACATACATATAGACATAGCTGATGGACAGACAGAGACATAGCTGATGGGTGCATGTATAGATGGATGGATGGACGGACGGATAGATAGATAGATAGATAGATAGATAGATAGATAGATAGATAGGTAGATAGATAGATAGATAGACAGACAGACAGACAGATAGATAGATAGATAGATAGATAGATAGATAGATAGATAGATAGATATAGATGATACATACAGGTAGACAGACATAGTTGACGGACAGAGATAGCTGGTTGATGCATTGATGGATTGATGGATGGATGGATGGATGGATGGATAGATAGATAGACAGATAGACAGATGATAGATACAGTCATACATGCCTACATAGGTGATGGATAGACAGTTAGATAGTTGATTGATGGATGGATGGATAGATAGATGATTGATAGATAAATATGACAAGTGGATGGATAGATAGATATAGATGATACATACAGACAGACATAGTCGATGGACAGAGATGGCTGATGGATGCATTGATGGATGGATGGATGGATGGATGGATGGATGGATAGATAGATGATTGATAGATAAATATGACAGGTAGATGGATAGATAGATATGATGGGTAGATAGATAAATAGATACGATAGATGCATAGATGGATAGATAGATGATAGATAGATAGATAGATAGATAGATGATATAGATGATAGAGAGATACAATCATACATGCCTACATAGGTGATGGATAGACAGTTAGATAGCTGATGGATGGATGGATGGATGGATAGACATAGATCATAGATAGATAGATACATACATACATACCTAGCTGATGGATAGACAAATAGCTGATGGATGGCTGGATGCAGATGATAGATATAGATGATAGATATGTAGATGTATACATACATAGCTAATGAATAGACAGATAGCTGATGGATGGACGGATATACCAATGATAGACAGACACATAGATGATAGACGAATGGTCTTTCATGCTAGGTTAGTGTCTCCGCCTGGGTACTACTGACATGTGTGGTGGGTGACTCTCCGGAGTGCGGCATCCTGGGCCCTGTAGGGTGATGGGTAGCATCTCCAGCCACCACATGCCAGTGGCACCCTCATTTCCTGATTCATGCCAATCAAAAAGGTCTCTAAATACTTCCAAATGTTCCCTGGGCCCAAACCCGCCTACGGGTGAGGACCTGTGTTCTAGGTCCGTCTGGGAACTTAAGGCACCGGATGAGACCGTGACTTTCTTCGCAGCCAAAAGAAAGTTTCGGAATTCTCCAACACGGCGCCCTCTTGGTGCCTTTAACTTTTCCTGTGTTCACAGCCTTTCTCTCTCACTAAGGCCACTCTCCCATACGATCTGAAGCTGCTTCTGTGTGTTGGGTGTGTTGTCACCGTACAACCTAGGTGACCATGTGTAATATTATCGCTTTAAATACAGTCGATATGTAATCATTAAAGTAGAAGTTATTGGTTCCCTTTTTTTCCAGGGGGGGCAGGAAAAGAGAAGGGAAAACCGCAGGTGTTTCTTCCCCATCCCCAGGTCCAGGGGTGGCCCCAGGGCGGGTCCCCAGCGCCCAGCAGGGAGGTGCGCGCAGGGGCGCAGGGGCGCAGGGGCGCAGGGGCGCAGGGGCGCAGGGGCGCAGGGGCGCAGGGGCGCAGGGGCGCAGGGGCGCAGGGGCGCAGGGGCGCAGGGGCGCAGGGGCGCAGGGGCGCAGGGGCGCAGGGGCGCAGGGGCGCAGGGGCGCAGGGGCGCAGGGGCGCAGGGGCGCAGGGGCGAGCGCCTACCTGAACAGCGAGTCGGTCATGCGCTTGGACGGCAGGCGCCAGAGGATGCGTGGCCAGGGGTCCCCGGACGCGCTGCAGTCCAGGCGCAGGGTCGCGCCATAGCGCACGTCGGTGCTCTGCGGGGAGGTGCCCGTGATGCGCGCGTTGGCGGCCGCCCGCTGCACCGTCAGCTGCACGACCCTGCGCGCCGAGCCCACCGGGTTGGCGACGACGCACTCGTAGCGGCCGCTGTCCTTGGGCGCCAGGTTGCGGATGTAGAGCGTGCCGTTGGCGAAGACGAACAGGTTCCCGTTGATGAACTGCGAGGGGCGGACCTGGGTGCCGTCCGACAGCACCCAGCGCACGCTGGGCAGGGGCGCGGCCTTGGCGGTGCAGTGGATGTGAATGCTGAGCCCCGGGGGCAGCGAGATGTTCTCCAGCTTCTCCTGCTGGATGACCGGGGGCAGCGCGGCCACGTGCAGCCGGATGGCCAGGCTGTCGGCGCCCGCCGCGTTGCTGGCCACGCACTTGTAGACGCCTCTGTCTGAGAAGGACGCCTCCTTGATGGACAGGGTCCTGTTTTGGTGCAGCGTCACTCTGCCCTCCACGGGGGACACGGTGTGCCACACCCTCCTGTCCGGGAAGATCCAGGAGATCTGGGGCGCTGGGGTCCCCTTGGCCAGGCACTCCATGGCTATGGTGTCTCCCAGGTACACGGTGACGTCCTGGTAGTGGGAGGCGAGGATCTGCGGCTGCTGCACGGTGACAGACAGCAGGACCCCCACCCTGTCCACCCCGTGCAGGTTTTTGGCCGTGCACGTGTACTGGCCACGGTCCTGCAGCTGCACCTTCCGGATGACAAACGTGCCGTTCTTCAGGACCTCGAAGCGCTGGAGCCTGGTGTTCGGGGTCATCAGAGCACCTGGGAATCAAAACACGTGCCATCAGGGTCCACACGAACAAACCCCCAGGGTACCAACAAGTAAGGGCGATTCCTCGTTGAGGAGCCGAATCCTTTCCTTTACGTCCCACACCGCAGAGGCAAAGAGCAGACCCGGCTCCGATATGGAGACAACAGAATGTTCATTTCCACCATTTGTGACTTTAAAAAAAATTTTTTTAATCTTTATTTATCCTTGAAAGAGCGGGAGAAACGGAGTGTGAACAGGGGAGGGGCAGAGAGAGAGAGGGAGACACAGAATTGGAAGCAGCTCTGGGCTCTGAGCTGTCAGCACAGAGTCTGTATCTATGAGGTTTCTCTGATGTTTTCAGGTCTGGGTCTTGCTGACCCCGGAGGGACCCCAGGCCCCTCCCAGAGCTATTCAGTTCCTAGAGTCGGCAAGCAATTCGCCTTTCAAATGCAAACTAAAGGAGGCGCCTCTGTGGCTGAGTGGGTTAAGTGCCCCCAGGTCATGATCTCACGGTTCATGAGTTTGAATCCTGTGTGGGGCTCTGTGCTGACAGCTGGCTCAGAGCCTGGAGCTGCTTCGGATTCTGTGTCTCCCCCTCTCTCTGCCCCTGCACCGCTCTCTCTCTCTCCCAAAAATAAACATGAAAAAATTAAAGATACATATAAATAAACGCAAGTCAAGCAATCCAGAGCCCACACCGTGATCCCCGGTGTATGGGGCTCTCACATTCCCAGGCCACGCCTCACCTGCCGGAATCTTCCCGGGGCAAGACCCGCACCACTAGGGAAGCCCTATGTCCAGAGCGTTGTGATGATAGTCAAGCCAGCCATTGCTAAGCCTCCTTGCAGAAAGCACAGTGAAGGCTGCTGTGCATCTTTCCCCGATGGCTTCTGTCTGCTGACACACACACACCCCCCCTCCCGCCCCGTGTCATCCCTTCCTGTTGTAAACTGCAAAACAAACTCTTCAATGGCCGTCATTCCCTGACGTCATTGCCTCACCATTTCTGAAGAATAACAAATCCCATATTTACAGAATGAAAAGCCTCGCAAAGCCCTGAGTTAAGGCATTCTCGTCTCCCACACAGCTGGGCTTTCTCTGCGCACGTAGGGGTAGTGAGGGGGCCGCTCTGATATCACGTGAGGCCTGAGGACCCTGAGGGTTAATGCAACTGGGATTCGCCGGGAGAGAAACAAAGGCAGCATCCTCTCGGGATGAAGACCCCGTGGTGGTCTCTGTTCGCTCCGTCGAGCAAAATTCCGTCTTAGATCATTACGAAAACATATGACCTCAGTGTTGAGCGGATCAAAGAAGTCCTTAATTCCCCCGTGCCCAGAGCCTCTGCTGAACTTTGGAACGTTTCCAGAAGGCTGGTGAGATAAACCTAAGCGAGGAATGAAGAGCTCCCCGAAGTGCTATTAGCATAAATCATGCCTGTATCATCAGAACGGGGAGAGGGAGAAAGGCCTCTGATCAGAATCCAGGCCTGAAGGAAACAGCCGTGCAGAGAGCGGAAGGCAGCAAGACGGGACGCTTCCACGGTGGCTTCTCGGAGGTCACTTTCCTCCGTCACCTGGGAACTGTTTTGCCGTCCAGATCAAGTCGACGGTCATTCGAATGTTTTTTGGGCTCAGCTTTATGGGCTGAGTTGTGTCCCCTCCTCAAATTCATACGTTGGGAAGCATCCCCTAGGATCTCAGAACAGGACTGTTGGCCATGTGGTCTTTCAACAGATAGTTAAGGTAAAGTGAGGTCATTGGGGTGCGCTGAGGTCCGACACTCCCTCAGCCTCAGCCCTGCCTGGACCTCAGACTCCAAGCCTCAGCCCTGCCTGGACCTCAGACCCCCGGCCTCGGCCCTGCCTGGACCTCAGACTCACAGCCTCAGCTCTGCCTGGACCTCAGACCCCTGGCCTTGGCCCTGCCTGGACCTCAGACCCCCACGCTCGGCTCTGCCTGGACCTCAGACCCCCAGGCTCGGCCCTCCCTGGACCTCAGACCCCTGGCCTCGGCCCTGCCTGGACCTCAGACTCCCGGCCTCCGCCCTGCCTGGACCTCCCCCCAGCCTCGGCCCTGCCTGGGTCTCAGACCCCCAGCCTCAGCCCTGCCTGGATCTCAGACTCCCAGCCTCGTCCCAGCCTGGACCTCAGACTCCCGGCCTCCGCCCTGCCTGGACCTCCCCCCAGCCTCGGCCCTGCCTGGGTCTCAGACCCTCACTCAGACTCCCAGCCTCAGCCCTGCCTGGGTCTCAGACCCCCAGCCTCGGCCCTGTCTGGACCTCAGACTCCCAGCCTCTGCCCTGCCTAAGTCTCAGACTCCCAGCCTCCAGGACTGGGAGACAATACATGTCTGTCTCTAAGGCACCCCCGTATGTGGTCCTCTGTTACAGCAGCCCAAACAAATGAATAGAACCCTATGTGTAGGTGCAAACCAAAGCAATGCCCGATGCACCCCAAGCAGGCTGTGTTTACATCTGCCAGCCAGTGGAAGGGCAAGGGGAGTCTGCTCACTCCTCACCCCCACGGCACCCCACACGGGTGGTGGAAGGCTTGTGCGCTGACTTTCTCAGGCAAAAGGCAAGCGGCTCCTTTGTGAAGTATTTCCTTTGTGAAATGTTCATGAGCCTCGGTCATTCCATATCTAAAGGACCTACGACATGCTTCCATAGGCTTGTTAAAATCTCACATACATTAGAGCCCGAGTAGGGGTCTGATTCCTTACTTCCCATTCCTGTAAAGGAGTATCCTTGTATCTACGTTCTCAGACGTCCCCTCCTGTCCCAACCATCTGTAGTTCTGACTAGGGTCACACGCTCAAGTAAGCCCTTCCTACACAAGCCCGTAAAATGGGGACACGTGAATGCCTTACCTGTGGAAACCTTTGTCCAGGTGATGAAAGGTGTGGGTTTCCCCGTCGCCTCACATGGGAACACAACATCTGTCTCTGCGGAGACAGACACCGTCTGAGGGGGTTTGGTGATAATTTGGGGCTTTTCCCCATGCGTCCAGAATTTGGATGCCGGTGGACCTCCAGCAGAGAACAGCTTGGAGGTGCTCTGGTGGAAGCTTCTGGAAGGCTGGCCTGAGGACGCCATGATGGGGATGGAGCTCCGGGTGGAATAGACCATGGGGATGTTCTGTACGTTTGTTGAGGGTGGCCCCGTGGCCCGGGGAGGGTGCGATAATGGAGGTGCAGGGGGACCGAAGTCCATGTGGATGATGCTCTGAGAATGTATCCTATTGTTGGGCCCTGGGTTGACTTTTTTCTCTCTTATGCCGGGGGCAGGAGATGCAAGCATCTGGGGCTTCTGAGTAGCTCCCAACTGTGGGAAAGAGACAGTCCTGTTGAAAAAGAAAGGGAATCTTCCATTGGGATAATGGGGGACCCTTGAACTCGGAAGCTTTCCAACAGGTTCTCTTAGATCCGGGATCTTGTTATCCCCAAACACTTTGGGGCTGACGCCAAACCGGTCCATTCCTTGGTCAGGGAACTTGCTAGGAATGTGAGGTTTGGGCTTCGGAGTGAGAACAATGGGGTTTGTCCCACTTGGTAATCTCGGAGTCGTCAAGTGCTTATTTTCTGGCCACACCCTTGAAGGGTACGCTGTTATTTCCTGTTTGTCGGTCAAGTGGCGAGGGGGCTGGGGAGTTACGAAGTATCTAAAGGAGCCTTCTGTGGCCATATGTGGGGGCCTCACCGTCCCCCTCGGGGGGATTGGATTGGCAGTAACTCTGGCTGGCTGGTGGAAGACATGGACTCTCCCAGCCTTTCCGTCGGGGCCGCGTGGAAGACCGTTTGGGGTCTTTCCATCAAATGCTTCCTTTTCCAGCTCTTGCTTTGGGGTTAAGTTAAATTTATTCTGGTTGGAAGAAGGGGTGGATAATTCATGTGGCCTCAATACATGCTGAGTTCCCTCCTTATTCACTGGGGCTGCTCTGGTTTCTGGGATCCCCACATAATTCAAGAAAACGTTTTCCTGGGAATCTGTTGATGTTGGAGGTGTCCTTGAGGCAAGAGATGTGGGCTCCGTGAAGGTCTGCATCACGGACACAAGGGTGGTGGCCAGGAATGGGGAAGCAGCCTCCTCTATCGAAGAGGGAGTCACGGCACGAGTCCAAGGTCTTTTAGCTGGAGTGGGTTCCTGACGATCGTGAGCACTGATGGTGGTTTCTGCCTGACTTGGAGACGGCTCTACTTTTATGCTCGAGACAGGGGTTGAAACAAGCACTTCTTTCGGTTGAAGCAGGGTAGACGCTGCAACTGACGGGGGAAACTCAGAAGGAAAACCCAGATCCTCCAACCGTTGAAGAAAGGGTGAGTCTGTGAGGCTTTCCGCAGGGCTGGTAGCAGGTGTGTCTGTGGGCAGTGTCCCAGATGCGGCTGCCCCTGGGGGATTCCAGCGTGAGGCTCCGGGGAAGCTCGATGGAGCAGTTCCCTCCTGGAATTGTCCCACGGTGGAGGGTGATGGAGCATAACTGATGGTGCCATCGGGGCCTGAGCTATCGGTTTTATGCTCGTTGATGTTTGTGACACCGTAACTCTTCATTTCCGTTCCGTCCAATATAGGTTTATAGGTAACTGGAATGGTCTCATGGAGTTTATTGGGCGATGAGTGTCTTTTTGGGGTGGTTGTCATAGAATCTCCCACTGTAGTCATCTCACGTGGGTCCCCAGTTGTCAGAGAAATGGTTGTAGATAAGAGTGGGGTTTCTGGGCTGGGAACAATGAGGTTTTTATGTTTGTTTTCTGGGGGAGGGCTGGGTGTCGAGGCAGACGTGGGAAAGCTCGTTGTAGAAGTGGAATACCGATGTTTATTTGGCCTCTTCCCATGTTTTCTTCTTGGGGTTCCTCTGGAAACTGGTTCCGCCTGCTTCTCCGTTTCCACCTGCTTGGGGACGTCAACGCTGCTGCCAGTCCAAGATGTGGGCACCGGTGAACTCTCCATGCGCTCTGGAACCTTCACTTCGGGTACTTGCGTAGGTGCAGTAGAAAAAGTCTCCGTGGGGGCAGAAGTCGTGGGCTGGGTTTGTTTATGCCGATTTCGGAACCTGTGGGGGCGTAATCTCTTCCTCCCGTTGGGTCTCTTTCGAGAAGTGTGAGTGGTCAGCCCCCAAGCCGAAGTGGCCTTTTGAGTTGGTGTCACCGCTGCTACCGTGGTGCTGTCCTTGTCAAAGAGACCACTGAGTGTGCTCTCGCTGGGATGTTTGGAGGGAGCCATGCCCTTCGTCATTCCGGGGGCGGAGTCAGGCGGAGTGGTAGATTTGACTCGCTTTCCCATACTCTCAGGATCTCTGGACGTTGTGGGGTCTCTCTCTGGCGTATCTCCTTCCTGTGGTGTCTGAGAATTCTCCTCTTCCTGTAGTGTCTGAGAATTCTCCTCTGTGCCTTTTTCAATCAGCGGGTTTCCCTGAGTGCTTAAAGCACCTTTCCCAAGCTGGGTGCTGTCTGTTTGTCTCCATGGGTGACCCTGGGGTTGGACAGCTGGCTCCCCTAATGTGAGACCGTCTAATGGCTCAGATGTCCTCGAGTCAACAACCCACAAGACGGTGGTTGGCGTAAGCTGAGTGAAGGTCAGTTCTTTCGTGTTCTCTCCACCTGGTTGTGAGTTAGTCTCCAAATCTGGGTAGTTAGTCTCCGACTCAGCCAAGGCGCCGGCAGCCAATGGAGATTCATACCCATCTGGCTCTGGCACGGATCCGACATCCACTGCAGGCCAGCTCTCTGTACCCGTGTTTTCATTGGTGGGCTCTTCGTAGACTGTGTCCAGGGTCTGGAGAGTAGAAGATTCATAAGGCACGGATGTCAGTGCCACGGCTGTAGCCCACTGTGGGTCAACTTGAGTGGGCGTCATCTCCTCAGTCTTAGAAAAGTCATGGTCAATAATTTTTCCCAGATGCATGCTTGACACTTTGGGTTCAGCCAGAATTACTCCATCGTGCCCACTCTCCAGTTCCATCTTGGTTGAGGCCACAGTGCTGGAAACCTGATCTTCCTCACCAAATAGAGACGTATCTGCTGAGGTTTCTTCGGCGCTGGTTGTGGTCTCTGCAGGTGACACTGAGGGTGGAGGAACAGCAGGCAAAAGCGGTGTCACTTCTGGCCTCACGGAGGGAGGAGTGGTGGATTTGATGCCCTGGGGTGTCTCAGTCCCCTTAGGGAGGTTTTTGCCACGTACTCTGGCTAAAATATCTGCCCAGCGCTCTGGATTAATCTGTTTGTTTGCCATATTTATCCTTCGTCTGGACTCGAAGACTCGGCGACCTTCTGCGATGTTCGTCTCTGGCTCTTTTTCAGAACTCTTCCAGGGCTTGAGCTTCCTTCGCCCTTTCTTCGTTTTCTTACCTCCCGTGACGGCTTCATCCTTTGTTTTGACGAGCGTCTCTTGGTCCTCTGTGTGTAGAACTCTCCTTGAAGCGTTCTCTTCCTCTCCTATGCCTGAACCGCCTTCGTCCTCTACGACATCTGCTGGCACTCTGGAAAGATTCTTCCCACCTGGGTGTCTGCCTTTCTTCGATGACCTGCCTGACCCTTTCTTACTCACGGTGACCCCCACAGTAAAGTGATCTGCCCCTTGCTGGTTGACTGCCACACATCTGTAGTAACCGCCATCACTGACTTGGACCTTTGGGATGGAAAGAGTTCCGTTGGCCAACATGTACGCATGCGACGTGTTAGCCACATTAGTAATTATCCTTTTGTTTGGGAGAATCCAACTGAGCTGGGCTTCGGGTATGGCCAGTACACTGCAAGGCAACAGCACGGGCTCCCCTGGGTTCTTCTGAATTGTCACTGTATGTCCATCAGGTGGCTGAGTGGCAGGTGGCTGCACAAACACCCTGTACACCATCCGGTCCATTTCATCCCTCACCTGAGCAATGCACTGGTAGAAACCCGAGTCTGACTGCTCTGCTGATCTGATCTTCAGCCAGCCACTGGTGAGGATGGAGAACTTGCCATCCTGGTCCTCCATGGGTGCTTTCAGGACAGAGCCATCTGGGAGCACCCAGTAGATGGATGGACTCTCAGAAGCCTTCACGTTACAGCTTAGCTGGCACGGACCCCCTTCCAAGACAGTCTGGGCTGTTTGTACCGCTCTGCTGGGCTCGATCATGACCCAGCTTCTGCTCCGAGACTGCCTGGCCTCTTTGGCAGGAATCGTTAACGAATAGTGGGAATAATAGGAGAGCAGCACCTTTTTGGCCGTACTCTGACGTCGGTTGAGTTGGATATCGATGGTTGGCTGCATGACCCATTCTGGTTCTGCAAGAATGTGGGCTCTGACGCCCGTGTAGTAAAGGGCATCGTCATCGGCGTCTTGTCTGTACTGGTAGCTGACCTTGGGGTCTTTGCTGAGCGTGAGTTCTTGGTTCAGCTTCACGGGGACCTCACTGTAATAAGCGATCAGTTTCCACAGCTTCTCATAGTTTTCCCGAGTCATGGGACACTCGAAGTCCAGAGCAACCGTTGCATTTATATCAATCTCTTGAGGGTCCGTCTGGTTCAAGTGAATTTTGTACAGGCCCGTTGGCTTCTTGATGTCGCAGACCAAGTTCACGGTGTTCCCGTGTTCGTCGGTCATGTTCAAAGAGATGTTCCATGGGGGGAACTGGAACCCCTCCAGGGAGAGCGGGCTGTCCCCATCTTCTTCTTGTTCCTCCTCTTCCTCCCTGTCCCTGCTTCTGTTCTGTCTCAGAGGGGACTCTATGGAAGGCTTCAGACAAGTAATGTCCTTCAGCTTGTGAATCTCTTGCTTGTGCAGTTTTTGGGGACTGGCACACATGGCACATAACTGACCACCTTCATAGGCTTTGTCCTTTTTACACTTCAGAGTTCCTAAAACAAATAGACAAACATGCACAAGTTAGTGAACCCAAGAACGGCACGCCTGGCACATGGCCAGAGGATAGAGGCAATGGGCACACATTTATCTCCCCAGTGCACGTCCCTAATGACTCCAGACCTTACTGGCTTCTGTGGCTTCACCAATGACTTGAAATCCATTTAGCACAGGGTGTGGTAAGGAACCACGGTTTTAGAACGACTTGGCAATGGATAATCAATACTTTTTTCAAAAGGATTCTTAAGTTATTTTTTTAAAAGGAACTCTATTAGGGGCGCCTGGGTGGCTTAGTCGGTTGAGCGTCCGACTTTCGCTCAGGTCATGATCTCACGGTTCGTGGGTTCGAGCCCCGCGTCGGGCTCTGTGCTGACTGCCAGCTCAGAGCCTGGAGCCTGCTTCAGATTCTGTGTCTCCCTCTCTCTCTGACCCTCCCCTGCTCACGCTGTCTCTCTCTCTCTCCTAGAAATAAATAAAACATTAAAAAAAATTTAAAAGGAACTCTGTTCACACACATTATACAAACTTACCTTCTCTGAAGGTCCAGGAGAATCTATATAAACAAACGTAACCCATGAAAAGAGTTCCCGGTTAAAGGACCCACTTTTGCCATGAATCACATCATATCTATCTTTTATATTCTTTTTCTGTTGCCAAAATTTTTCTTTTTTTAATGGGGGAGGAGCAGAGAGAGTGAGAGAGAGAGGAAAATACGAAGTAGACTCAGTGTGGAGCCTGACTCAGGGCTTGATCTTACGAACTGTGAGGTCATGACCTGAGCTGAAATTAAAAGTCAGATGCTGAGGTGACTGAGCCACGCAGGGACCCCTGTAATTTTTCATTTCAGGCAGTGTTTACCCTTTGCATTCACATTCTACTCTTGTCTTCCTGGACATCAAGTGTTCCAGAATGTTCTCTGTATCTGGCCCCTGGTCTGCCTCTTTCACTGCTTCGTCCTTCTCTGCCCACAGACTCAGTGGTGATGGAGAGTTTCTGGACTTGGTCCTGGCCCCCTTCCATCTTGCTCTGCCCGGTCATCCATGGCCTCACCTACACGTATGGCTTTCGTCACCATCCATATTCAATGACGGCTGCCGACATGCTTCTCCAGTGAACACACAGTTTACAAAGTCCACACCCACTTTCCTACTTGACACCTCTTTTTCAAAGTCACAAAGTCTCCTCCAGGTGACATTGATATGGATTCTACCCACCCCGAACCTAGAGGCTTTTTCTCTAGCAGTAAATGGTGTGATACTACTTCGCGTCAGGGGAAGGAGGAGACTGCTGTGCCTTTTGACAGTTTTCTTGATACCTGCCCACTTCTTTCTATCACCACTGGGAGGAAAGCAGCCAAAGGGCTGTCATCTATGACACAGAGAATGATAAACCTCCTAACTGGTTTCACAAGATCTGCTTGTCCTCTCTGGACACAGTTTTCTGTGCGGCTTTCAGAGTAAACACCTCAACGTGCAGATACAATTGGCTCACTACCTCACCCAACACACGCAAACACAGATGGGTACATAGGGTGCATACACACACAGAGAGACACGTATGCACACACAACATATACACAGACATGCATGTGTACACACTCACGCACACACAAAATACACACAGACATGGATGTATACACATCCACACACAAAATATACAGACATACTTGTGTACACACACACACAAAATATACACAGACATGATGCATACACATGCACACACAAAATATATACACACAAAATATATAGGCATACTTATGTACACGCACAAATATACACAGACATACATGTATAGAACACACACATAAATTATACAGATGTACTTGTGCACACACACACAAATATACACAGACATATGTGTATACACATACACACACAAAATATTCAGAGACATACATGTATACACATGCACACCTAAAACACACACATGTATTTCCAGAATGGCCAAGACGGCTCTCTGTGCAAGAAAACATCATATTTTTACTTCCATAATCCAATGTTTTGCTGGTAAATGTGTACTCAAAATGATTTTCAGCCCCCCTTGTACCCAGTGGGGTTTGGGGACTATTTCCCAGCAATGAACTACAAATGGAGGTGACATATGGGTTTTCTAGTTAAGAGTATTAAGAAGCAGGCCTATCTCGGTCTTCCCGCACCCATTTCTAGAGTAAGCAAATCGGATGTCAAAGTGAAGGTGGAGGGCCCAGGTCCATCAGTCAATCCAGAGAGGAGAGTCGCCCAGCAAGTGAAAGCACACGCAGGAAATTGTGATTTAAGGTATGTGTGAAGGAAGGTCCCAGATGGGCGCGGCCAAGACGCTAAGTAGAAATTGAAGAGAGCAAGACCTCTCAAAGATGATGTGTTAACAAGGATTTGAGAGCAGAAGATAAAGCATCCCCCTGAACATCTAGAAGGTACGTTGTGTCCACAGGTCCAAGGCCACTGATTTGGAAATAAGTTTGGGAGGTGCAGGGAGCCAAAGGTAGAGCATTGTGGCTGCAAGAGGGTGACGTGGAGGGGAACACGCGCATCACAGGAGGGTGGGTGGTAGGTGGGAGCACGGGTGTGGAGGAAACCAGTGGGGTCTATTGAAGGAGGGGTGACCAAGGCTGCAGAAAGTGCTGCCAGGAATGCCCAATTCTCCTCCTAGAGAGAGAAAACAGTAGCTGGATTCAGGCTGGAGGCTGTGACGGTGGACAACAGACCCACGATTTGGTAAACCCAAGGGGATCGAGGATGAGATTCAAGGTGGGGCTTGAGGAAGGGGGGTAAAAGAAAGATGAAGAAATAAAATCTTCCTTATTTTGAATCAAAATCTACTTTCTTGGGGCGCCTGGGTGGCTCTGTCACTTAGGCGTCTGGCTCTTAATCTGGGCTTAGGTCATGATATCACAATTTGTGAATTTGAGCCCATAATCGAGCTCTTGCGCTCACAGTGTGGAGTCTGCTTGGGATTTTCTCTCTCTCTCTCTCTCTCTGCCCCTCCCTGCCCATTGGTCTTTTTGGCTCTCTCTCTGTCTCTCAAAATAAATAAATAAACTTCAAGAAAATCTTTCTTGCAGCTTCTACACGCCACTCCCGTGTTTTGTTGTCTGGATCTGTGCAGAACACGCGTGTCACCCATTCTTAAGAGAAATGCGTCATAGACACCGACAGCCTTCCCTTTTCCAAGCATCGTTGAACACCTCCTCATATAGCACGGATGTACAGAAAGTCCCCCATTTCGATGTAACCCAACGCTGCATGGAACCCTCCAGATATTCAATTTAGGACAACCCCACTCAACCATATAAAGCTGAATGATCGTTGGCTTCACATTTTATGGAAGGGCATGACCATGTGAATGATGAACAGGGACGCCTTGACATGCACATCGTGGTCTCCGTGCCCACGGAAGTCTCCCACCGCGCCGATCTGGCCACGTGCCCTCGGCAAGATCAAACGATGGCAGAACGCTAGGGGACGTAAGCTCTCCGGAAAGGCAAGCAACGCGCAGGGGGGAACCACGTCCGCCCGGCTCGCCTCCTACCTTTGGATCCGGCATCCCACTCCAGAAGCCACTTCATCTTGCAGTCACACAACCAGGGGTTGCCGTGCAGGTAAAGATTTTCCAGAAGAGGCATGTTCTGCAGCATCCCTGTGGGGAGAGTCGTAATCATGTTGTCTGCCAGGTAGAGGTGTCTGATGGTGGAGAGTCTGAAATAATCCAGAAACGTGAACGTGGAGAATGTGCCAGGGTGGAGTTGATGCAGCAGATTCCCTTCCAAGTGGAGCAGCCTCAAGGACGTTAAGCCGTCGAACGCTTGCGGGTGAATGAATTCGATCTTGTTGTGGTCGATGTGCAGCCTCATTAAGCTCCATAGACCCTGCAAGGTCTGCGCTGTAATCACGCGAAGCTTATTGTAGCTGAACTTGAAAACCTACGAAGGCAGGGGCGGGGGGGGGGGGCGGGAAGGTGGGAAGCCTGGTTATAATTTACAAAGTCACAAGCAGGGACAGAAACCAGAAGAAAGAGCAGAGAGGTAATGACATTAAGCTGGTTTTTAACGACAAAAAAGAATTTGTAATTTTATTCATCGTTAGGGAGCGCTGTGTCATTTCCCCTCTTCGTTAACGGTCACACGGGCCGCAATGACGCAATGACTGATGCTCGTAAAAGCCCGGGTTTACCTGGAGGGAGCTGAGGTCTCTTAAAGCCCCGTCGGGGATATTGGGGATGTCGTTGCCATGAATCATAAGGAGCTCCAACTTGCTCAGTCCCGCAAACGAGGTTTCTGACAAAGCCTGTATACTATTAAATCTAAGGGGAAGAAAAAAAATAATTGGAATAAGAAACCGTGAATACTGAAACTCCATCTGGGAAAGATTCACTCCGTTCAGGAATGTTCGTTGGGTATTTTGACTACGGATATGCTAATCATGCAGCTAGAGGTGATTTTAGGGACACAAGTAGGAATTAGATTCTAAAGGAAGCTGGCCCAAGTGGCCCCTCCTTGGAAACTTCCACTGGAAAGCGTCAGTGATGATGAATGACGCTCGGGTCATTGAATGCAAAGAATCAGCATGAATGCCAAGGAACCCCAGCTTGAGAAGTAGCTTTGTGTCAAGTAAGGAGAGAAGGAGGTGCCCCAGGCTACAAAGGACTAAATTAAAGAGCCGAGGGCCAAACACCAGCACCCTACTTCACAAGGACCGGTGGCCATTTCTGATGGACTCTCTAAATGAATTGTAAACATTCTGGTGTGTTTTTGGCTTTTGTTTTGCATCAACATCGGTAAAGATGTTTTCTTGACCAATTTGAAAATTCCTCATTGCTGGGGCGCCTGGGTGGCTCAGTCTGTTAAGCGTCCGACATCGGCTCAGGTTATGATCTCACGGTTCGTGAGTTCGAGTCCCGCGTCGGGCTCTGTGCTGACAGCTCAGAGCCTGGAGCCTGATTCAGATTCTATGTCTCCCTCTCTATCTGCCCCTTCCTTGCTCACTCTCTGTCTCTTGCCCCCAACAATAGAAAACATCATAAAGTTTAAAAAAAAAAAGAAAAAAGAAAATTCCTCATTGCTACCTTATGCATGGCACAAGGGAATCCCAGTCAATACCTAGAGAAGGGATTCTAAAATAAATTGGCGGGCAGTTACTTTGTGTCACTACTTCTGCTGAAATACAACACATCTAGCCTGATGTTATTTATGGCTTTTCCATAACACCTAAATAAAAGGAAATAGATGTGTAAGACAGTGATAGTAAAGTGCTCCCAGTTTAATATAACAGACGATTCTAGGTCCAATTTCTTTCCTTTAAAAAATATTTTTTTAATGATTATCTATTTTGGGAGAGAGAGAGAGCACCTGAGCGGGGCGGGGGGCAGAGAGAGAAAGAAAGAGAAAAAGAATCCCAAGCACGGTCTGCACTGCCAACCCAGGGCCCGATTCAGGGCTTGAAATCACCAACTGTGAGATCGTGACCTGAGTCAAAATCAAGAGTCTGAAGCTTAAGTGACTGAGCCACTCAGGTGCCCCATTCTTATAGTGGATTTATAATCAGACCCTGATTTTGAAGTCAAGATCTGGCCAATGATGCCTCGAAGAGCCAGCCTGAGGAAGCATCACTTTTCAGCTATGAATTCCAGGAAATACAACTTCCATCAGCAAAATCACTCACCTTGATTGCATGGAGATCTACTAAAAGCTACTTCAAACATTGCATTGTTTTATAAGACCCACTTAAGCAAAGGAAGCATCAGATGGAATGAAATGTATCCTGTCTCATTAGGAAAATGCAATAGGGTTTTGAAATGATGCACAGGTAAAAATAGAGTAAAAAGTAATCGTGGCTCCTGTTTGTCATTTAACTCACAGAGTCAATGGACAATTACATAGAAAGGTTCCCCCTTCTGGACTATATGATACAGATACTGGACAGTGTCCAGAGACATGTTTGGGTGTCACAGCTGAGTGGAGGTGTGTTAGCGGCATCTGGTGGGTAGAGACCATGGGTGCTGCTGAGCATCCTACAATGCACAGGATGGCCTCCCACCAACATGGCTCAGTCCCTAATATCAAGAGTGTTGGATTTAGAAACTGTCCAAGCAGAAAAGATGCTGTCAGTTGATCTATCTATCCATCCATCCATTATCTCTCTATCCATCCATCTAACCATCCATCCATCATATCAGTCTAACTATCCATCTATCCATCCATACAACATCTACCTATCCACTAATCTATCTATTCATCCATCCATTCATTCATACATCCTTCCACCCATCATCTACCTATCCATCGATCCATCAATCCATCCATCATCTATGTATCTATTTATTCATCCATCCATCTATCTATGCATCCATCATCTATCAATTCATGCATGCATCCATCCATCATCTGTCTATATATTTATCCATCTCTCCATCCATCCATCCATCCATCATCTATCTATATATGTATCCATCTAGCCATTCATCCATCAATCTAACATCTATCATGTTATCTATCTACCTATCTACCTATCTATCTATCATCTATCATCTATCCATCCATCCATCCATCCATCCATCATATCGATCTATCTAACTATCCATCTATCCATCGATCCAGCATCTATCTATCTATCTATCTATCTATCTATCATCTATCTATCTATCATCTATTCATCCATCCATTCACCCATCCATCATCTACCTATCCATCAATTCATCGATCCATCCATCATCTATCCATCTATCTATCTATCTATAGTCTATCAATCTAGGGTAGTGGTCTAAACTGGGGTAGTTTTGCCCCCAGGTGACATTTGGCAATATCTGGGGTCATTTTTGGTGATCACAACTGGGAGAAGGGCGTGATGCCATGGACGTCTAAGTGGGAAGAGATCAAGAATCCTGCTCTACACCATGCAAAAGATAGCAATCCCCCAACAATGAATTATCCTTTGCAAATTGGAAATAGTGATCCCACATGCCAACTGGATGGATGTGGCAAAACCAGTCTAACCCAAGGCTGGATTGTCTACGAACTGAGCGCTGCCTCATTCACTTAGTCGTTAGTGTTCTACAGTGAAGTCTGTCTGGGATGGCAAGACTACCAGGGAATGAGTGCCAAGATCTAAGCTCCTTTCCTTTTCCTGGTGCCTGAGGTTTGCCTGGAAACAGTAGCTAAGTGGGAGAACGGTATCAGGTGAGGTAGGTAAGGCCGGCAGGTGCCAGGCTGTCTGGGAGCTGGGAGGTCAAGGGAAGGACGATGGTTTGTTCCAACAGGAAACGATTGGAAGGTTTTAAACAATGGAGTGACATAAACTAAGTTATGTGTGAAGACAAGAATGCTCTAGTGCATATAGAGTGAGTAAATAAAATCGTCTAAGACCTCAAAGGTAAGAAGAGTAGAAAGGCCAGGAGGAGGAGGCAGGTCTTGAAGACAGAGGAGGTGAGGGTCAAAGGGTCAATGTCTGAAACAAGCCAGAAAGATGTTGGGGTTCTTTAGCACCATTCAATCCAAGGTGTGCTATGCTCACGAGCGTCTTGTGTGTTTGTTGAGAAAAATTCTTGCTTCCAACTAGATTTCCAAGTAATGGTGGACACCAAAGTGGAGAAGGCACCAAAGGGAAGGAATGTGGCTGAGTACAGAGCAGCGTAAATCCCTCCGAGTCGAGGATGGTGGGCACACAGCTCAGGAAGCCGTCTTTCTGTATCATCTTGGCACTTGGTTTTGAGAGGCATCCAATAGCCACCGATGCAGTGGTGTTGGTACCAGAGCTATGAAAGGGGAGAGTCTCTGGGGACAGACAAAAGCCAAGAGAATTGCCTGAATGTCAACTGGAGGAGGCATTTTCTTCCCTCTGAGTACACAATGCATGCAGATGAGTCTTCTGTGTGCCCGTCTAAAAACCAGCAGGGTCCTGGGGGAGTCAGTGTGGAAGTCGAGGAAGAGAATGAGACAAAGGATTGAAATGAGGGGCGACTGGGGGGCTCCGTCTGTTAAGTGTCCGACTTGAGCTCAGGTCACGACCTCAACGGTTCATGAGTACGAGTCGGCGACTGGGGAGCTCCGTCAGTTAAGCGTCCGACTTGAGCTCAGGTCACGACCTCAACGGTTCATGAGTATGAGTCGCATGTTGGGCTCTGTGCTGACAGCTCAGAGCCTGGAGTCTGCTTCCGATTCTGTGTCTCCCTCTCTCCGCCCCTCTCCTGCTCTCTGTCTCTGTCTCTCTCTCATAAATAAATAAATAATAAATAAATAAATAAATAAATAAATAGAAACATTTTTAAAAAGTGCTTAGGAAGTAATTTTTGGAAAATCTCTGGGGCTGTCCAAACAGGAAATGGCAGATCTCTCTTTCAATGCTGACCGAACACCCTGAAAAACATCTGTGTGGGAACGGAAGATTTAGTGGTGCTTTGCCAAGAATCCCTCATTCCTAGAGCGTACGCTCTCCTTCCAGATGGCTAAAACACAAATCAGACCCTGAGTCCTGTCTGTGAGACATTGCTCTTGCTTCTTTCTTTCCTTCTCCCCCAACAAAATCCACAGTGACACGAACATCATCTACTTGGAGACTGATGTTCAGAGAAAGTGCTGGGATACAAGAGTGATTTAATGGGCACCTGGGTGGCTCAGTTGGCTAAGTGTCTGCTTCTGGATTGTGGCTGAGGTTCAGGATCTCATATTTCATGGGTTCAAGCCCTGCCATTGAGGTCCACGCTGACAGCATGGAGCCTGCCTGGAATTCTCTCTCTCTCCCTGTCTCTCTCCTCCTCCCTGATCATGTGTACCCTTTCTCTCAAAATAAATACATCAACATTTTTTTAAAATAGAGTGACTTAAAAAGATGGCATATTGATTCCTATTACCAATTTAACTAGATGGAAGTTATATACCTGGCTGCAGTGAAACTATATCTTAACTGTTTTGTCTTTTCTTTAATATTACACAAAACCATCTCAAAATATTATTGCCACCAACAGGAAAAGGCACATCTTGATATCTATGCGCTGCTCCAGTGGCAAACCTTTTGAGACACCGTAATTTATAGTCTTTACCATATAGAGTCAGTTAAAATGGGGCAGCTGGGTGGCTGAGTCCATGAAGCGTCTGGCCCTTGATTCTGGGTTCAGGTCACGATCTCACAGTTCACGAGTTCCAGCCCCGCGTCAGGCTCTGTGCCGACAGCGCGGAGGCTGCTTGGGATTCTCTCCCTCCCTCTCTCTCTGCCCCTCCCCTGCTCCTGTTCACTCTCTCTTGCTCTCTCTCAAAACAAATCAAGTTAAAAAAAATAAAGTTGGTCAACATGAAGCCACCAGAAACTGTGCTCTAATTGAGAAGCTAAGTTCCTCGTGTACAAAATACGTCAATGTCAAGATGAGTAGGGGGAAAAGGCCGCGGAAATTGTAAATGAGATAAATACACCTTCACAGGTCATGGTGCACTGATGTTGTCTGTATAAAACCACAGTGTAGTTCACCTTGTGGGAGGAGACATGTGGCATGGGCCCCAACCTCACAGCCCAGAGCTGCGGTATACAGCAGGTGGCTCATGCATGCCTTTTAGGTAGGAAGCACGGCAGCAAGCTGGTCTCTTCCACCATCATCATCCGTGTGCTCTCTGGGGGGCTGCATGAAGGCCTGGGGGACACCCCGTCCAACTCTGTGCACTGCCAAGGGGTCGGGCTGGAGGGACGAGGTGGCTAGTCACAGCAAGTGGGGCCATATACTGACAAAGACAGCAACGGCCCCATTTTGCACACCAGGATGCGCGAGAGAGGAGAGAAGTCACAGAAAAGTCCATTTTCCTTTCTACAAAGCATGGCTCATTCTGCCCTGATTCATATCAATGGTCCCTGGTCTTCCTCTTCTCTCTCCCATTTGGCAAATGGTAAGGCTGTCAGAGGGAAACTGGGTTAGCTACTAAAATCCCCTCTTCAAAGGCGACGGGAGGTGGGGGGCGGGAGGTGCCTGGGTGGCTCAGTCAATTAAGCATCCAACTTCAGCTCAGGTCACAATCTCACAGTTCGTGGGTTCAAGCCCCGCGTCGGGCTCTGTGCTGACAGCTAGCTCAGAGCTTGGAGCTGCTTCGGATTCTGTGTCTCACTCTCTCTCTGCCCCTCCCTTGCTTGCACTCTGTCTCTCTGTCTCTCTCAAGAATAAATTTTTAAAAACATTAAAAAAAAAATTAAATCCCCTCTTCTGGCAAAGCTGAACTACTTCCCCTCCTGAGTTATCATGATTCTGGTTGGATTTTCAGATACTCAAATCATAAGATCTGTCAAGATCTTACTGAGAAAATTATTTAATGGCCTACTGCCTTCGATTAGGGATTTTCTATCTTGCCATCTTAACTTCTCGTTCTGTTTTTCTGTTACAGGACTTTACAAATATAAGATTTTGTTTTGAGTCTGTGCTATAAGATGTTCGAGCACGTTTACAATTATTTGTTCATTGGCCGTTTCATTTCATTTAAAACATCTGGCCAGTGGCTAGTCATGAAAGCCTAACTTATTTTGTTGCTTTGTAGGTGGTAGAGAATAGCTTATATATTTGCTGAGGAAATCCAAATAGTTGTTTATTATTTAAATTGCACATGGGGCATGTGGGTGGCTCAGTCGATTAAGCATACAACTTTGGCTCAGGTCATGACCTCACATTTCATGAGTTCGAGCCCCGTGTGGGGCTCTGTGCTGACGGCTCAGAGTCTGGACCCTGATTTGGATTCTGTGTCTCTCTCCCTTTCTCCCCCTCCCCTGCTTGCACTCTGTCTCTCTCTCTCTCTCAAAAAGAAATCAACATGAAAATAAATAAATAAATAAATACGTTGCACATGAGTATCTGCAACTTATAGCAACTAATATTTATGTATAGAAGCATTTATGCACACGAAATATTTTTAACTACAAAAATATGTCTATACCTATATCTATATAAATATAAATCTATATAAATATAAATTTACCTGAAATGGTGCATGAAAACGTCGCTAAAAAATATTCACATTTTAAATAGGCAAAAGCGACCAGAACCATTTTTATTTCCCCAAGAGCAAAACTGCACCATCCAGGTAAGTTACAGAATGTCAGAAATGTCCAATAGATTCTTTAAAGTACTTTTAGTAGTTTCTGAAGTCTATTTAAGTAGGGTTTAGGGGCGCCTGGGTGGCTCAGTCGGTTGAGCGTCCGGCTTTCGCTCAGGTCATGATCTCACGGTTCGTGGGTTCGAGCCCCGCTTCGGGCTCTGTGCTGACTGCCAGCTCAGAGCCTGGAGCCTGTTTCAGTCTGTGACTCCCTCTCTCTCTGACCCTCCCCTGCTCACGCTGTCTCTCTCTCTCTCTCCTAGGAATAAATAAATAAAAAAAAACATTAAAAAAATTTAAGTAACGTTTATATATTGACGGGTGCATCAGATGCATTAGTACCCACTGCGTAGTAGACGATCGTTACCGAGGGAAATCTGTCGATACACTGAAGCTGATCAGGATGGTTGGTTCTTAACTCATACGATAGCGGTGCTAGTTGATGCATAAACTCAGATAATCACCCCCAAAGGCCTGCATTTAGTGGTGACAGTGCCTCACCGCGATTCTGCCCACAGAGAGGGACGCAATGCTGGATAGGGCGACACAGAAAGTCGTGCGCATCTACAGCGTCGTAAACGCACACCCACGCATGGAAAGCCACAGCCAAACGCGCAAGGGAAGAGGCGGTACGAACCCCAGATTGATTCTTTCCACGTGGTCAGAGATCCCGGCGGGCACAGAAGCCAAGGACCGGAACGTGCAGTGGACTTCGCTGGGGACGTAGCAGGCGCAAGGGTGCGGACAGAGGAGCGCGGCCGGTGGGCGGCCCCAGAGAAGAATCAGCACCACGGACAGCGCCGGCCACGGAGCCCGCGGGGATGGCATCGTGTCCCGATGCGCCCTTGACCCTGTGCACCTGCGATGGGACCACAGAAAGACGGCAGTTTACTGTCAGGGAGCGCGTACGTGTTTCGCGAACGTTCTTCGCAGGGTGCACGACGGCCTGGGGCTTCCCGAGGCTCCATCCCATGGAGTCTTTGCTGACGCGAGATATGGGAGCCCGGAAACTCGAAACGTGTGTTTCTGATCTCTCCCTGTGAACTAGAATCCGTGACTTCGAAGGTCACCTTTGAGGTCACCTCAACTCTCGACGCTACCGTTTGGAAAGCTCACGCTATGGCGAGCGAGAGTATGGAGCGGACAGACCCACAAAAATACTGATACATACGTCTTCATAAATGGAAGCGCATAGATATTCGTGTATATAGCTGTATATCCATACAGAGAGAGGAGAGATACGTTGCTGTTTCTATAATAATAAAGCACCTCATTTAAATATAATATACAGCTTTATATATAGAATATATATTATCTTTCCATAATAAAGTATCTGGTTAAAATACCTACAATATATAGTTTTACATATAATATTATATATGATAATGGCTCTATAATATAAAGGAACTGATTAAAGTAACTGTAATATATAGTTTTATATATAATAATACAACATATATTATTATACTGTTTCTATCATAAAGCATCTGATTAAAGTAACTATAACATATAGTTTCTTCTATAATAATAAGGGAAGTAATTAAAGTAACTATAATATAAAGGTTTACACATAATAATACATTATTATTATGTTTCTACAGTAATCAAGGACCTGATCAAGTATCCACCCCCGATGTTCATTCCGAGCCATTCTATATTGTACATATTTGAGCAAAAATAAACTTCTCAACAAGGTCGTTATTAGAATATCCCTTTCATATCCCCACATTCCTTCAAGTGTTCAATGCATCCTCTTAAAGTGTTTAAAGAGTGCGCGCTCCCCGAGGCAAAATTTATTCCACTCTCTGTGGGTGAGTGAGTGTGCTATTGGGGAAGAGGTTTGTAACATCTGACATTAGATAAAGAGGGAAGGAATTGTCCCATGAAATATGTCCAGGCAAAGAAAGGATATCACTGAGGCCAAGCGCGCAAAAATGGAAATGCTCATATATTTCAGATACTGGGCTGCATCGGCTTCCTCGTTTAGAATATGCGTGGTTATGTATTATTACTTTTGTCCACGCTTTGGACACCGTCTCATCGTCTTCTAAGTTTCTCCTCTCTTGCAACAAGTTTATTTCAAAACAGTAATACACGTGGGAAGTAACGTGCACGACAGAGACGCGCTAAGTGCTGCTCTCGGATCCGCTCACACAGGCTAGGAATCCCCAGCTTTTCCGTCCTTAAAATAACCTCCAGATGGATCCTGTCTTCAGCCTGAGAGCGTCGAGCTGGCGCCCAGGCAGCCTCTCCAGGGCGAGGCTCAGCCTCCGCTGCAGCAGCCTCCCCGCCGCCCGCGCCCGGAACGCGCGCTGTGCCCGCGGGCGACCCCTTGTCTGCGGCCTGGGCTCCCGCCGGGTCCTCCGCGGACACCCAGGGCGCGCGTCCCGGGGAAGCCCGGGCCTGGCGCCGCGCGCGGGGAGGCGCCCTGAGCCTGAGCCGGCGGGGCTGCCCGGGGAGGCTGGGCCCCGGCGGACAGACTGGCCAGCCTCCAGCGCCCCTGCAAGGAAAAGACGGGGTTTCCCAGAACGCGGCTAGGGTGGCCTCGCGGGGACCCGCGCAGAAGGAGCCGTCTTTCCAGGGCGATGACTTGGCCAGTTTCCGGGGGCCGAGGGTCCCCCGTCTCCAGGGTTAGAGGAGGCGGCGGGGGGCGGGGGGGGGGGGGGGATGGACTTTAGCACGTCCGGGGAGGCTCCGCGGGTCTGCTGACCCTCCCACGCCAGGAGGCCTCGGGTTCCCTCGGGGGTCCCACCGCGCCTCCCTGGACACCAGGGATGGTTAGGTGCGAGGCTGCCCGGGAAGGGCGCGGAGAGGTAAGGACACGCGGACCCTCCGCCACATGCAGCCTGTCTGTTCCCCCGAGCGCAGTGGCAGGCCCGGTGCCATGCGCCTCTGCGTCCCCGTCCTCACCCCCACCCTTGGCCGGGCGCCAAGTGCACCCGCGCAACGGTCCCCGCGCCCCCCGGGCGCCCAGGCCGCCCCGGGTCCTCACCTGTCCTTCGGAAGCCGAGACACACGGGAGCTAGTCGCCCTGAGCTTCCGCGGGGCCGGGGCGCGCGAGTCACCGCCGGGGGTCCGCCGGGGCCATGCCCTTCCCGGGCCGGGGGCGACGCAGCGACGCTTCCCAGCTCCGCGCGGAGAGCCGGCGCCCTTTTATTCGCGTCGCCGCCGAGAGGCTTCCCCGAGTCCACGCCTCGGCCCACCCCCACCCTGCCCTGCCCCACCCCGGGGAGACGGGGCGCGGGCCCGAGCCCAGGGACCCTGGCCGCGCGCGCGCTGCGCTCAGCCCTCCTCGCGCGTCTTCATCGCGCCTCGCCCCCTCCGGCTGCGGGAGCGGCCGGGGCCCAGCGCGCGGCGGCTTGGGGACCGAGGACACGGGGTCCGGGGACAGCGGGGGCAGGGGAGAGCCCGGGGGCGCGCCGGGGACGGTCCCGAGCGGGGCTACCCGGAGGCGGCCTTTCCTTCCGGGGAAGGGGGAAGGCGCGCGGCGTGGGCTCCTCCGGCGGGACGGAGCTCGCTCTGGCGGCTTCCCCCGAACCCGGGCGCGGACGGGAGCCCCCTCCTGCGGGCCCGGGTGCAACGTGAGACCCGCGGCCACGCCCTCCCGCCTCTCCGGTGGCTCCTGGACGCCCGCCTCTCGCGGCCGCAGCCGGGAAGGTGGGAGTGCGCTCCTCCCGCCCCCGCGAGCAGGCTGTGGGGGCAGGGGGGTGGGCGGGGGGGCCTCGGTGCTGGCTGCGGGGGCAGGGGGGTGGGCGACCTGGGGAGGGGGCGCGAGAGCCAAGCTGGAGAGGGCGGTGCGCCCGTGAGCCACATGGAGACGGAGAAGGGCACCCGGCTTGCAGAAGGAACCGGGCGGGAACCGGGAGCGAGAAAGTTAGGAAGGGATCAGGTGAGCGCAGTTGTCAGTAGAGACAACCTCCGTCCCCAGCCCCCAGGCCCCGAAGAAAAGACAGAGCCTCTGTGAAGAAAAAAAAAAAAAAAAATAGGTGTCCAAATGCCAAGAGCCAGGAAAGGAACATTCCAGAGGTCCCGATAGAGACTTTTCATGGACAAGGAGCGCGGAGCCTTTGCATAAGACAAACGAGCAATAACGCTGACTTGCTTCTGATGCATGGAGTGCGGCTGCCTCCGTTTCTCCTAAGAAACACAGTGTCCGCAAGGTGCCCCTGTCCCTGGCCGGGGTGGTGGCCACAGAGCAGGTCATCTGTACACCCTGCATCATAAATGGTTTGATCCACTTGCTCTATAGCTTTACTTTTCCGTAATAAGTGTTGACGTTTTCCGGGACTCGCTTTAGGCATTCGCTTCCCTGCGGTGCCCAAAACCCACCCACTGAATTTATAACAATCTTGTCCTCAGGACATCTCGTGTTTGTTAACGGCATTGCCGTCGTCTACTCGGCCGAACTGGAAACTCACATCATCCTCCCCGTGTGGCTGTGTTGGGAGGGCCTCACGGTCACCTGGTGGCCGAGTCTGGTGGATTCCGGCTCCTAAGAAAGGTTGGGCCCAATGGTTAGGGCTTCACACCCACGTATCTGGTTGCCTTGGGAAGGATGCTCATTTCTCGCCTCTGGGACTCCTGTCCGCCTCTCCCTGCACCGATCCCCGCTGTGCTGTCTCCAGTGGGTCACCCAAAGTAGGAAGGTTGCCCAGCTGCCCGTAGGTGACACATGACAATCCAAGGTCTTCCCAGCCTGTCCCAGCCACCTTGCGTCTCCCATTTTGAAGAAATGCTAGCGATTCTGCCTTCGTCTCTTCCCGGTGTCTGTGCACAGTCTCTTCTTGAGGTACTTGGTTCAGTGCATCGTTTACTGCCCTTCCGAGGATAATCTCCTCCCCAACTTGCAGGTCATACCATTTCCTGCCCATCCGTGTGGCCCTTTGCTCGCATTGTGGCCAAGTACTTTCCCTGGTTCTAAGTCAGTGGTAACATTTGGACTCAGCCCGAAGATGAGGTCACACTCGGTGGCCAAGGTGATCCCCGGACAGAAGGAATGAGCGAGCGAATGAGGTTCAGTTCTGCCAAGGAATGCGTAGATTGAAAAGGTCAGTCCACAACTTAAGCAACAAATCCATGAATACGGCATTACGATTCTGAGTGATCCTGTAATTTAAAAAAAAAAAAAAATCAATGCTTCGGTGTGTTTAATGCCTTGGTTTGGACACTGGCCTTGCCTTGCTTCATCGGGGTGAAGTCCACGGGTAGTAACCATGTTTTAGTTATTGTTGAATCACCACAGGCGCCTGCACAGTTCCTTGAATACGGAAGAGTTAGAAATGCATGTCGGCTGAGTTAAAGCCAAGTGTTTGATCGCCTTCCACTATGTGCAGCATGAGGAGGGAAGAGAAGCTACGAGAACTTGGAGCTCCTTCTAACGTGCTTGGGGCAAAGGAGAGATATGGACGTCCGTATTGCCAGGAGTCCGTGGGATTCGTCCTCGTGACCAAACGGCATGTGTCTTGATGAATGAGTTGTGCACCTCGTGATTTTACCAGCGAGCCCTTTTCCATGTCCCCATCTGAGCCAGCATTTTGACCGTAGGGATGCTGTGGACGGGATTGTGTCCCCTCGGAAGTCCTGTGCAGAAGCTGTACCCCTCCACGGGGTGGTATCAGCAGGCGGGCCCTTTGGGGGGTGATGAGGTTTCCGTGACGTCACGGGGAGGGGATTCGTGCCCTGTTAAGAAGAGAGTGACATCAGAGCTCCTGATGCCTCTCCGCCATGTGAGGTCTCGGCAAGCAGGTAGCCACGTGTGGCCCACGGAGAGGGCCTGTTCTGGAAACCAGATGCACAGGGCACCGCGATCTTTGGTCTACGAAAGACATCTGTGAGCCCCGAAAGGTGGGAATTATTTCCTGGGGCAGTGGCTCTTGGGATCCGGCGAGTGCCCCTGTCACAGGCTGGGGGCCCGCAGCTCCTTTAAAGGCCATGCCCGGAAAAGGCATCAGTGAGATGTGTCTGCTCTCGAAATTCAATGCTCTGCGCTCCTGCGTGCAGACCGAAGTCCTAATGGCTTTGCAGCCTCCGGCTCCTGCCCTCCACCCAACCCTTCCTTTAGGGACACAGAGATGAGAAAAGCTCATTGCTCGGAAATTCCCTGGAGTCCTCTGCCTTGGGGGACGCGCCACCGGTATGTCTCCTCTGTGTTATCATCAGACCCTTAGGGCCTGTCTTCTAGGAAGGATACAACCGTTGAGCGATTAGTAGTTGAGCGATTAGTAGCCGAGTCACACCTCCTGCCCGCTGGCTTCTTGGCCGCGTAGCCTAGAATATGCCATTCGCCCTTCCTGAAATCAGCTTGTCCAAACGCAAAATAAGGACTGTGGGGTCGCCCCCCCCCCCCCGTCAGTGCTGGGCGACACAGTGGGATGTCTGTACTCAATACCTATGATGGGGAAACCCACCGTCATTTATGTTTACTGCATTCTTGTGTGTTTCCTGTTCCTTTCCCCCAATCCTTCCCCAAAGAACGCAGGAGCCCAGGGAACGGATAGGCTCTTTCTCGCCTGAGGTGAAGCTCTTCAGGGCTGTGGCTTTTTGAATGGGAAAGTTTAATATTCTAAGCGAGGCCGTGCATTACCAACGAATGACGTGGCTCGTTGCTTAACAGGGATTTTCAAACTCACTTCTGAGTCACGTGACTCCCCTTCCCCGCAGCTGCTGCCAGACTCCATAATCCCGGGAAGGGCTGACCCTGAATCCTGTACAATGACCAGGAGACGGAGAAAAAAGTCGACACAGGAAATGTCTACTTGCATAGCTGGGGAATCCCACGGGGCGCGGGGCCGGGGCGCTGCCGGGGTGTATCTTTATGTGAGCAGAGACAGACTCTGAGGAATGTTCCGTGGGAAACTCGTCCCCGTGTGTCTGGGTCGAACCTTCCATGATAACACAGGCTCCTGGCAATCCCGGTGAAAAGGAGGAGGCATTTTTTCCTTTGTTTGTTCATACACGGGGCATTCGGAAGTCCCCTGCCTCGCCGGCTGGAGCAGAAAGGCTTCCAGATTTTCCCGGCAGCATCACTGAAAGGGGGATGGAAGTCAGACGCACAGCGCAGACCTCCTGAGCACGGTCGAGTTATCTTTGCAAACGAGCCAGACCAAGGCCTCAGGGCCGGAGAGCAGTCTGGCACACGTGGAGACTCTCGTCCCTTTCCAGAATAAAAAACGCAGAGGCTCTGGACCTCAACATGAAAATATTCATTCGACAAAGACGTCCTACAAAGGATGAATATTCAAAAGTCTAAAAAGTGTTGTGAAGACTTTAAAAAAAAATTTTTTTTTTTTTTTTTTTTTTTGGACAACTCATTTTGGCCCGAGTTCATGCTGACTCTACTTTTGTACATGCAGGCTGGCTCTCGGAATGCAAACCCAGTAGCTTCTGGGGCGTTCCCGGGGGAAGCTGTCCTAGAAGCCAGAATGAAGGAATGCCGTTAAAAAGCTCCTTCTGAGGGTGAAGGCTGCTGAGGCTCGGTGGGGCCCCTGAGGACATTTCCCAGGGGATTCCCGTCACCTGTGGACGCTTGGAGGACACCAGGTGCATCTCCTGACTCTTTAGTAACGTGTCCCTTCTGTGAAGTGGGTTGGGGAGCCTCATTAGTGCACAGACGGTGCCTGACGGGGCCACTTTAGGTCATCTTGAAATCCTAGGAGCAAGAATGATTCCTTGTGCCCAGTGGCCCTACTGTGCATGTGAGCGAAGAGAAATGTGCTAATTTCCCCGGTTCGTAAAGGCCAGTGTGTGCTTCTGAGCAGCACAGCTCAAACACGCAAAAAACAAAACAGAACGAAAAACAAACAAGCAAAAACACAGCATCGAAACAACATCCAAAGAAGTTGTTCCCGTGCTTTGGAATGTGGTGCTAAAAGATGTGAATAGAAGTCACTTGTGAATAAAGTGCAGGGAACCCATGACTCAGAGGATTATATAAATCTGTGGAGGAGAAAATGACACGCCTACACACGACACTGAATTCTTACAAAGGGGGGAAAAAAAGGCTAAGAAAATATTTAGCTGAAACAGAAACTGTGTCGTGTGGTAACCATCTCTAATTAGGCTTCAGACTCCGATACCTTCTGCGGGAGTTTCCTGGGGCGGCTTTAGCACATTCGTGCCATAAACCAGGGCTCTTAAAACTACAGGAAGTCATTCTCTCGCT